CAATGTGGGTGTTTTTCATGATTTGGCACACAGTAGAGCAGGCAGCGTAGCCAAGATGTTTTTCATGTTGAACAAAAACCATAACAGATGGAGGTGGTGATTATAAAGCACTTATTTAAAATGTTAGTAATGAATCAGTGTAGTTTGAGGCCAAGTCAGTAATCCATGCTAAGGAAGTTGAAGAGCACTCTTATAGTTTCTAATATAATAGATAACAGACAACTGAAGAGAACTGAATTTACTTTATTTATTAAGATTTTATTTTTAGGCAGAGGAAGGGAAGGGGAGAGGGAAACATCAGTGTGTGATTACCTACTGTGCGCCCCTTACTGGGAACCTGGCTCCCAACCCAGGCATGTGCCCTGATGGGAGTTGAACCAGTGACCCATCAGTTCACAGCCTGGCACCCAGTCCACTGAGCCATACCAGCCAGGGTGAGAACTGATTTTAAATGGCTCTCCCAGTACTGCTATTCTAGCCACGTCCCTGTAGAATTTTTCTTGGGGGCCTGAGTCTTTAAAAAGCCTCTGTAAGTCACAGCAGTATTTTAGTATTGCTCCTGTGGGGTTGACTGATTTATGAAGAGCTGGGGAAAATTCACTGGCTTAAATTTCTATAACACAAGGGGGCAGCTATAAGTGGTATTTTGGGGGGGGGTTTGTTGCTGTTTTTTAAAGTGTAAGAACTTAAATCGTTTTTGTCTTCACAAACGCTTTTATACAAATTGCTTCACAAATTGATAAAACTTTGAATAATTTTCCCTGAAGAAATGTTGACCCTCCCTCCCCCGCAGACTGTTAGAGTGTGTGTTGGCAGGGCTGATGGACTGCTCTTCCATAACTGTACAGCTTCTTTTCTTTCTTTTTTTAAAACCATGATTTATTGTTTGTTTATTTACAGATGACCAAATATGTTCAGGCAAGAAAATAACTTAATATTTGAAAATACAGCAGTCTACAAACAAAATACTTATATACCATTTTCCTAAAAGACACCTTTTTCTATGATTTGTGTAGAAAATTTAGCGTAGTTCCTATCTCCCAGTATTGGTGTAGAAGGACAGGAGGGAATTGGTTATTGTAACTCCTGAACACTGCCTGCAGTCTTTCTGGAAGTCCGCGCGGAGCGAGGTGATCTCAGAACACAGCGGTCCTAGTCCTCTGCTGCTGTGTGTGCGTGGCTGCCCGTGGGCAGCGTTTCATTGGCGATACCTTACCTAGCGCAGGCGCAGCGAGGCTCAGCCACCAGGATTAGGCATCCGTTAGACCTCAGAGTGCTGATGTGCACGGCAGAGCCGCCGTGGGGAAGTCGCTGTGTCCTCCACGGCAGCTGGAAGGGGGCTCTGCACTGGTGGCCGCGCTGCTCGTGGCGCTTCCTCACAGAATCCCCTCTGTTACCCCGGGAGGCGAGGGTTGTCTCCACTGTATAGCTGGGGAAACCGAAATTTAGAGAAGGGTCTTTTGCCCAAGGTCGCCTAGCTCGTTGTTGATGAAAATGGAACCCATGTGTTCAGCCTCTTTAGTTCTGTGCTCTTGCCACCAGATCAGGTACATCTTTAGGGGTCTGAGACCTAAACCTTTAACCTCCGACTTTTATTTTTCTTTTTTAGAAACTATTGGGAAAGTTTCAAATTGGTATTACTGTAAATGGGAATGTTCATTGCCTTTAGAAAGGTCTCAGGCTCCGGGTGAGGGGCAGCGGCAGCAGGGCAGAATGTGACCAGGGTCACGGAATGGAGACGGGTAGAGCAGAACGCGCGCAGTGCCCTGAGCCGTCCCTGGGGAAGACGGTTTCATTTCTGGGAATGTCTCACTTTCCCAGGACAGTGATGGCGAGCCATCATTGTGTGGGCCTCTGAGGTCTCACCCTCTTATTTTGTTTCCCTCTGTATTTTGGAGGCTGTGAAAAGTTTGTACTCGAGATGTATGAGGCCCTGGTATGGTTTTCTTATCTGTGAATTAGACCATAGTAGTACTGTGTTCTCTTGACTGAAATATTTCTAACTTTTAGTTGAACTATGATGTACATCTTGAAAAGTTTATATATAGGTACACAATTCAGTAGATTTTCACAGATTGAACACACTCGGATACCCAGCACGCGTGAAATGTAACAGAGACACCTCGAAAGCCCCCATGGGTCCCCTTCCATTGACTGGAATAGTTTTAATTCTCCTGTATAAACCTTACATCATTCCTCATCATTTAGGTTTCTTCTCCAGTAGGACTCTAACAAATTATTTTAAGTCCTTTTTCTTTTGCAAAAAAGAAAAAACCTCACCGAAACTTGTCTCTTCCTCCTTTGGTAATCTCATCTCTTGATCAATCTGCTTCCGTTAGACCAAAGTGTTTTGTGGGGCTACAAGTCATAACTTGAGGGAATATGGAGGCTGGAATAGAACATGTGGCTGTAGGGTGGTAGCTAAAAACATTCCTTGGAATTTGCAAACTGAATGAAAATTTGGTGTTGATCTCAGCCCTCAGTTTGTTAAGAGGTAATGAACGAGTGCATGATGAGAGATGCCTTCTGCTTCTGTCACGGGGAAATGGTGGCGGGAGCAGCTTCCTCATTCTCCGAACTCTGATGAAGCTTTTAAAAATTGCTTGTGAAGGATGTGAGCTTTCCTCTAAAACCATAGCAAATTAAATAGTCTTTGTAGGTACAAACTTACCCACTTATAGTTCTGGTCCCTTTCTTCTCTCTGTTCCACGTTAGACTCACTTATATTAATTTGTGTCCTTTGCTGTTTTAAACATGTGACTAAAACTTAATTTTAAAATATCTTTTAAATTATGCCGTCCTAGTTCCAAGGCTTGCACGTGAAAGCTGATGTCCCAGTGGAGCGGGTGGGTGGAAAGACGGTCTGTGGCTCGCAGGGTGGCCTGCAGCCAGCAGGGACACTCTTAGAGGCATGCACAGCCACACTTTGGTTTTCTCCGTGCTAGAATGTTCCAGAGAACCAAAATTTTCTCCATTCACATACACAGTATATTAAAAATAGACTAGCCCTGACTGGTATGGTTCGGTTGACTTCATTCCATCAAACGAAAGGTCACCGGTGGGATTCCTAGTCAGGACACAGGCCTGGGTTGCGGGTTCAGTCCCAGTCTGGGCACAAACCAGATCTCACACATCAGTGTTTCTCTCCCTGCCTTTCTCCCTTCTTTGCCCTCTCTGTAAAAATAAGTAAAATCTTTAAAAAAAAACAACCCCAACTAAATGCATTAATTCCATATTTCCCTACCTTCTTAGGGAGAAAGGTATTCTAAACACCAAGTAATAATTTTGTGCTGCAGAAAATCATAGTTCTAAACTGATGCTGAGTCTGGAAGTTGCCCTGGAGTTTCCTTTATCAGGAGGTTTCACTTTTTAGGGGCACGTTTGCCTCTGTCTTAGTAAAGGTGACAAGAACTTGCTATATGAACTGCTGGCGTGAAGCAGTTATCCTTAAATTAAAAGTGACCTTTTCCAGATGATTACCTTATTCTGTTTTGATGGCCAAATGGGCCATAATCACCTTCTGACCCTGGCAGGAATTTTAAAAGCATTTGAAAAACTTGTTCGTAAGCCTAAAGTTTGTTGTTGTTGTTGTTGTTACTAAACGATGCTTTATAAAGTAATTACTAGGCCACATTTTTCTTCAAGCCCTTTTTCTTGGTAGATAACGGAATCCTGGCTTTAAGCAGCATTTAAAATCGCTCCTTTGCTCTCATGTTGTTGAGGCTGATGTGACGTCTGTGGGGTGTCAGCCCCTCGGGCCCCAGCGTCTTCTGTGGCGCTGACGGCCCGGCCTCACTGCTCAGGGATGCAGTGTCAGCGCGGCAGGGGGCGCTGTTAAGAACAGCCCCTCTCAAACCAGCGTCTTCCACATGCATTTTATGACTGTCCAGCAGCCGGACAACTCAGCTGGCTATAGCACAGTGCAGTGTTTTATTTTTGAAAGCATGAATGCATTTTACATGTATATTAATTTGTATTATTACAGGATTTAATAAAATACAATGATTTGTTAGGGAAGTGGGGAACAATGACGAAAGGAAACAAACTTTCATCGCTGAAGCTAATGGGATTTACCAATGACTGATTTTTTTCAGAGCTTGCAAATTCACACTCAGAATTTGCTACCTTATCTTACACACTTAAACTCGGTGGCTTACATGCCTAGGGCCAGAGGTTGACCAGCATCACAGATGGGCACATGCCTTGTAACGCGCTCCACGGCATATCCTCTGTTCAGAGTGAATTCCCTTCCGGACTCATTTAATTCAGGACCATTAGCTGGTTAGCTTTCAGTATTAATCGATACCTATTTAGTCAGGAGCAGTGACCTCTTTTCCCTTAAATTGTCAGATTCAAAAATGACAACAACCATCTAATGTAAATGAATCAAAATTTTACCTTTTTCTTTTTTTTTATCAGATAGCAAAACATATTGTTTGGTGTACCGCACAATTTTAGTGCTTGGTGTGTGTGCACCATGAGATGGGAAAGGTTGAAAATCGCTCCTGCACAGTGTGTGGTGCCATGGCCTCGCCTGTCGGTGTAGCTCGCAGGGAACAGTATTGGAGAGGCCACTCATGTGGCCTCTGACAGCCCGTGTGGGTCGCTAGCCAGTGGCCTTCGGGAATGAGGGCACGTCTCTGGGTCTGCACTCAGCGGGAGAACACAGTGTAGGTGTGTGCGCTGTTTTCCAGAACCTCCTCTCCCAAACTGACCTGTTACTTTTCCCTGTCAGCCCCCTTCTGCTGTTCTACTGAGAGTTCAGTGTTAGATGCCCAAGAGCCTGAACTCTCATTTCCAGGGACAGTTCTCTTTGTTTTTAATTTTAACTGTGAGGGTTGTTTGAAGTTTAAAGAAATGTTTCTTGCATCCATGTACCTGATAATACTTCAGATAACACCTTTTACAAACAAACCTAAACGGCAATATAATTGTTTCAGTGGCTACCCTTTCCGGAGTGAAAAGGACATGATTAATTTTTTTTTCTTATTTCTTTTTAGGTTTTGAATGAAGAATGTGATCAGAACTGGTACAAGGCAGAACTCAATGGGAAAGATGGCTTCATTCCCAAGAATTACATAGAAATGAAACCCCATCCGTAAGTTCGGCTCTACTGTCTCCCAAGAGTCAGACCTGCCTGTTTGTTTCCAATGATGTTTTTAAAACAGATCACTGAGACGCATGTCATACTTTCAATTTGTTCTTCCAAGGGAATTAACAAAACATTGATTTTGCATATTAATAATAGTGTATAATGATAATATAATAAAGTCAATAATAGCTTATGTTTCAGATGAATGGTAGTTGCTGGTGATCTTTAGTGAAACAATTGTTTTCATTTAAAACAACAGTTTATACACTATTATGCAATAGTGTATATGTTTTAGATTAATAGTAACTGTCAGTCATCTTCAGGTAATAAAACAACAGTTAATGCAGGTCCATAGTTTTTTTGTATGAAACAATTGGGGCTAATGTTTCATAATTCTGGAGTTTTTGTTTTGTTTTGTTGTTGAGTTTTGGAAAGGGTATGTATCCCATGGTTTTATGTTGCTGTTTGATTATCCTGTGGGGCCATGTCTTAATAGCCTTTGTATCCTCAGAGCATGATGCTCGGCATAAAATGGGTTGATACTCACTGCTCCTCCTCTCCACTTGGTGTTCTTATTTCAGAGATAACAAAATGATCGCCTACTCAGCTGCTGAAAGCAGTGAACCTTTTTTCTTTTCTTACGTTTTTAGAGCCCCTCCCGTTCACACTGGTAACGGACATACTGGGGCCCTGGAAGCCTGTCGGGACCACTGCCCTCCCACCCTCACCCTCGCCCTTCATTGGCTGTGCTCCTCCCCCTACCGCCGTCGGTCCACACTCCGTACTGCACGGGGACTGAGGCGCTCAGTGTTCGGATCAGAGCGCCACTGAGACACGACAAAATCCTTCTGCTTGGTTTAAAACAAGTGATGTGGCCTTTTTTTTTTTTTTTTTTTTTTAATTGGGGAGGGAGGGAGGAGAGAGAGACTTTTTTCCCCACTTATTTATGCATTCATTTACTGAGTCTTGTATGTGGTCTGACTGGGGATCAAACCTGCAGCCTTGGCTTATCAGGACAACACTCTAACCAGCCGAGCTGCCCAGCCAGGGCCACAAATGATAAGACTTTTAGATGACTTGACCCACCTTGAATACCAGCACATTTGTCCCTCACCCTCATTGTCACCGTTCTAATGTGTACCTGTCATTTCTCTTCCCTCAAGTATGAGCAGGATATTAACCACACCTTATCTTACGCAGAACTTACAATGTCATAGAACTCGAAGGGGCCTTCAAGATTGTCTAGTTTATTCATCTTTATCCTACAAATTAGGAATACTTTTGGTATTTTTATTTCAATGCCATTATTTTATGGATATAGTTCTCATTCTAAAAGACTCACAGTGTAGAAAACTATAGAGCAATATATGAGTTTCTCCCCATATACATAACACTTTCGGAGGTTACCATCACTAACAATTAAATGGGGGCCAAATGCTACCTTATGAACTAAATCTCTTCAAAGATGATTTTGCAACCCAACCACTGTGGCTCAGTTGGTTGGGCGATGTCCTGCAAAGTGAAAAGTCACTGGTTTGATTCCTGGCAGGGCTTGTGCCTGGGTAGTGGATTCGGTCCCCTGTTGGGACACATGCGAGACGCCTGATGTTTCTCTCCATCTCTTTCTCCTTCCTTCCCCTCCCCTTTAAAATCAAAATAAAATAAATAAGTAAGATTTTTTTAAAAAAGATTTCGCTTTCTATACAATGAAAGAAATGATGAGGAGCTTTACCATAAAGCTGTCTTTTGGTTCATGCTTTGGTCAGTAAACTCGTACACAGTTACTAGGTGGCAGAGACTGTGCTAGGTGCTAGGAAGTTAGGTGCCGTAGTTAAGTTATGGTTTCACAACATTTCCATGTGGTTAACGTGAAGTCTCTGAGAGAGCACATCCAGGAAGCCGTAGCCTGGAAAGAGAAGGTGGGGTCGCTCTGCAGTTTGGTAATGGGAAGATATCTATAATGAAGAAACTGAAGTACTCAGAGAAACATCTTTCTATTTCAAGAACCTGGCACCTCTTGGTGGCTCAGTAGAACTCCATTGAATGATTTACAAGGTGAAAATAGGTCTAATCTTCAAACTTCTTTTTTCCAGTTTTTGTTTGGAACCTGTACTGTCTTATATCTCCATGACTTAAGAGTTCAGCCTCTCCTCCTCCTCCATCCCCCACCAAAGATTTTTTTAGAGTCCTCGGAGAATTTATGCCTTCTGCGTTTGTGCTCCCAGAAAGTGTGCTAAGCGCAGCTTTGGGTTCTTACAGCCACTTAGTGTCGGTGTTTGCTTTGGGGGCTGTGTGAGCTTTTTTTGTGAACAGCATGTGGACGCACCCCTGCGGGAGAAGCCGCTGGGGAGTGGCCCCAGGAGCAGGAGGGGCTCCGCAGTCACGGTGCGTCCTCCCTCCCCTGGTCCCTGGAAGCCACATAGTGTGTGCACCCCTGTCCCTTCAGTCCACCCTCAGAATAGGCCAAGGGCTGGCTAAGCTTCTGTGAAAGGCCAGGTAATAAATATTAATATTGTAGGCTTTGTGGGCCACGGGCAGTCTCTTTCATGATACATATTCTTCTTTTGAAATTTTTAAAAACAGTCCCAGATTGTGGGCTATACAAACACTGGGCAAATTTAGTTCAAGGGCCATGGTTTGCTGACTCCAGCACTAAATCCAATAATAACAAAATCAACTTAAGTTACTTTTCATTTTCATATTTCCAGGCAGAAAGGGAATTCAGAACATCATACTGTAATTTTTATATTAAATAAAAATGCCTGTCCTCTACGTCCTTGTTTCCTTTCAAGTTGTTTCAGGTGCCAGAGGCGTTTGGAATGCAACCATTAAGAAAAGAGAGGAAAGGCCCCCTTTGTGGAAAGCTGTGGTTACTGCGTGATTGGCGGGTTAGCCTTTGAGGGAGAGCTGCTCTCGTGCCGGGTTCCCCGCTGTGAAGAACTTTGGCCAGTTGGTCGGGGAGCATCCAGTCCAGGTGCTGTTCACAGACTCTGGCTGGAAACCTCCCCCCCGCCGCCACCCCCCCCCCGCCCCCCGCCCCGCCAAGCCCTGAGCGGATTGCTAAAAGAGGACATCACCTCGGACCTTTGTGGTGTTTGGTCTCCCAGGCAGGTTTTCTGTTCCGGGAGGGCTCTGGGGCTGGACACCCGGAAGCGCAGAGTGAGTGTCAGTTTCGTGGCCGTGGGGCGCACAGAGTCCCGGGCCTCCCCCTGCCCTGCCCTCCCTTCCTCTTCCCCAGCCCATCCCGAAATCTTTAGTTTTTGTTAAAAAGAGGGAAGTTATGACCTGATAACAGCATTTGAGTTATTAGCAAATTGAACACAGACTACAAATGATTGTTGGCATTTGTGTTGCAAGATGAGTTGTAGATACTGGGGATGGATCCAAATATGTGCTTTCACATTAAATACATATGGGTGGGAGCCTATGAGACGTAGTCAGGAATTAAATTGCAAAATAAACAGCCTCCTCCCATTAGCTTTCTCCTTTGCTGTTTGTCTTGTGGTATAAATCCATCTTTTTAAAGATTTTTAAAAGTTTGACCATAGCCATGTAGTTACATATAAATATCACCATCAAACTTCCAAACAGTATAAAATTCTATGGAAATGTAGGGTGATGGTATTTAAATGTAACTGAGAGTGATAGCTACTCCTCACGTAGTGCCGCGGTCCTTATGTTGTGGGACATCCTTGGCGGCTGGGGGGTGGGGAGGTTGGAGGGGGCGGGGGTGTGTGTGTGTGTGTGTGTGTGTGTGTGTGTGTGTGTGTGTGTGTGTGTACGTGTGTACACACACGTACACGTGCTTATAATGGGAGCAGATACAAAAGAAATATTTACTTAATAAAGTCTCCAGTTAATTTTCAATTTTTCAATCTGGGTGCTTGTAACAGGGGTGTGTTTACTTTGTATAAATTCCAGTTAGTATGCTTTCCTTCACTACAGTTTTTGTTTTTTAATTGAAAATAAAATTGAGTTCATTTTAAACTGGGGACAAGAAAGCCCTGCAGCCGTATCTGTTGTCTGTGCGCCATAAGGGAAGGTCTACAGCCTACACGTACAGCTGCCAACAGTTGCTGCCCCAGGGGAGTTTGAGGGAAGAGTCTTGTTTTTTATTTTTACTGAATGCACATCTAGGTTATTTTAATTTCTTACATTTTAAAAAGCGGGAAAGAAAAGCAAAACGCCTGCCTGCTGGGATGCTCTTGGGGGTTTAGGAGGAAAGAGCGTGGCTATTGAGTAACTTCACCCCACCCCAGGCAACTGCCAGTGCCTGCAAGCGCCTCATAAACTCGAAAGCACCAGAGATTGAAATAGGAAAGATCTGCATGGCCTCAGTGGTGTTAGCCATGGTCTCATACCTGGAGGTCATTCTCTGCATATGTGATTTTCCTGCATGGCCTGGCTTCCAGGCACTGGAGGACCTACCCCCGGGGTCATTTGTAGAAGCAGGAGGATAGATTGTGCCAGCTCCTCAGCAGCTTGGCCTTGGAAAAGCAAAATGAGAAGGACAAAAATAGGTAGATATAGGAATGTTGAAAAGTTAACTAATGGCAACCTGTGAATGTATCCTTCCAGCAGCTCACATCCCTGTGTTTGAATTTTAGTATAGTGTGTGCTTTTAGAGACCCCTTGCCGATGCAGTTGCTTACAAGTAAGAGATGCATAAGTGAGGTTAATGGACTGTTCTGTACCTTTGTTTTTGTAGTTTGTAGATGTAATGAATGTTAGTTACCATGTTAGGCATTTAATGAAGCATGTAGGTCTTAATTAGCTCTAAGAAACACGGTTGCTTTTTTAAAATAATCATAACAATACAGTAAAGACAACTTTGAAAAGAGAACATTGTTTTCTCAGTTCATCCATCCTAATTAGTATGGTTTTCATGTGAAATGCTTAGGCAGCTGTGACGTGGAGCTTGTGCAGAGAGCTGTCCCCCTCCCTCCTGGTAAAGCCACAGGCCAGTCGCTCCCACCGTTTTCTATGAATTCACTCTCTTTTTCTTGGGACCAAGGTGAATTAGCATTGGGAGCAGAAGAACCTAACTTGCTCCATATGCCCCTGCACCTGGTCAGTTACCCTGTTCCTGCTGGCTCCTGAAAGCTGAACTCGGAGCAGGGGGGGCAGGGGCTAGCGTTGAGAGCAGGGCCGGCCTCAGAGGCTTGTGGAGGCTGCCCTCTTGGCTGGAACCTCTTCCCACTGAGCTGTTGCAGGAAGCAGCCCTGTCTCCAGCTTCTGAGCCTTGAAGCCTTCCTACCCCCATTTCCCACTCTAGCAAAGCTGCCGCTCTATCAGGTGGCTGCAAGACGGAGCCTGTCTCCCCTTCTCTGGGTCACATCAATAGGCCTGGGCTTTCCCCGTGCCTTGCTATGAGTCAGCAGGGGGCCCAGTGGGTTTTGGTCCTGGAGTCCCATTTTTAAGAGTCTTCCTCTAGAGGAAGTGGCCTACGATCACGCCTTATGGGTCTCTTTCTGGAGAGCGGGGTGGGGTGCCGTCGTTTGAAGGGAGATGGCCCACCTCTCACAGGAGGACCTGACCGAATGGCCTGGCCGGGCACGTTGAGACTGAAGGGTGAAGAAGGAGGCCCTTCCCGAGCAAGGAGTGTTCTGTCACTCCCATTTCAGAGGCCGTGTGTCCCGTTTCTTTCTGGGGAAGCAGAGGTTGACTGGCTTGCCTTCCTTCCCTAGGTGGTTTTTTGGCAAAATCCCCAGAGCCAAGGCAGAAGAAATGCTTAGCAAACAGCGGCATGACGGGGCCTTCCTCATCCGAGAGAGCGAGAGCGCTCCCGGGGATTTCTCCCTCTCCGTCAAGTGAGTATTCCCTGCTTCGGCTGCCTGCGCCCTGTCCCGCGGCGAGCGGCGAAGCCATAGACCAGGTGTCTGGTGGGGGTTCAGCCTAAACAGTATTTTACAAATAAGATATTACATGAAAATCCTAACTTCTGGCCCCTCTTAAAAATTTGTCCTAGCAGCCGTGGGCCTGGGATCCCTCTGGAAGCTGTTGCTGAGTGAGCGGCAGTCGCACAGACAGCCTGTGCTCGCCCGGTTTCCCCAACCCTCGTGTGTCCGTGCCCACAGCTCGCTCTGCACCCCTCCCCAGGGGGGTCCCTGCGCTCCGCTCTCTTCCACGGCTGCCTGGCGGCCATGCCCGCCCTTGCAAGCCTTCCCCAGCCACCCGGCGTCCGTCTGCCAGCACCAGCTGCGCAGGCGCTCACATTCCTATAAAAGATCACCACAGGGCTTGGGGGGTTCACTTTCCCTCCTGCTAAATTTAAATGTGGAAGGGAGCTGGTGGACAGGGACTGGCAGGGCAGGCGGTGTTGCCACGCTGGGAGTCACGGAGAATATGGGTTGGGACTTAGAGGGTTCGAAGCAGATCTGCCCCGTTGGTGACCGAAGGCTATCGAAACTGTCCTGTCATTTCCATGTGTTCTGACTCCGCCCTTTTCTAATTGATAATATGTGATCTCAGCCACACACACCCCCCCCCCAATCCTAAAAATCAGGTCATTCTTTATATGACGAAGGAATGAGCAGTTTAAAAATGATTTTTTAAAATGAAGGATTTGCCATTTTTTAATGATGTAAAAGTTTTTTTGTGTGTGTGTTTTTTTTTTTGCTTTCAAAAATCAACTGAATATCTTGTTTAATCTCAAGACAAAATGTGTGGTTAAAGTGTAGGTTTTTTGAAACGTAGATTTAAATTTAGAATTTTTTTTCCCTCACTGAAGATATGGGAGGTGGTTTCAGGTGGAGCTTGCAATACTTTATATCTGTGCTTCCAGCATAATTTTTAGTCCCAACATGAACAAATCAGACTGGGTTTAATTATAAATTTTTCTTTTCTAACAATGGACTTTTTAGTAGACCTTATTTTTTAGAGCAGTTTTGGTTCACAGCGAAAGTGAAAGGCGCAGAGACCCCCCCCACACACATTCCCACCTGCTTTTGATGTGCTGATTAAACACATGCAGATGAGGGTCTGGTGAAGAGCACCTCACGCAGAGATGTCTGCACACTTCTTATTAGCGTGTATTTCACCACCTGTTTCCTTGTGCGTTACCCTGAGCCCGTGTAAATCGAACGACAGGGGCGAGGTGTCAGAAGCGATCAGTGGACTCCATCGTGGCAGTTGGCGTCCATGCGAGGGCCTCGTCTGGGACCCACTGACCACGGCGCCTGGTAGCCGCCAGTGCTCCCACGTCACTCCCTGTTACCCAGTAAAAAGTTTGAAGAGTTCATGTATTTATTGTCTTAAAATAAAACTTGAAATCGATGTCATTAACCATCTTGATCAAAGATGATGTAAAGGAGGTTCAAGAATCTAGTCTCTGAGATGTTTCTCTCATTTCAAGATGTGAGTCTGTGGGGGAAACCACTGCAGTCCTTTCAGAAACCAGCCACTGCACGGTGGCAGCGGACTTCTAGGGGACCCAGAGTGTCATTTGAGTATGTCCTTCCTCATAACACTTTCTCCTCATCTGTCTTTTTTTTCCTTGTGAAATAGCAACACAGCAGATCCTTTCATTATAACACTGATGAAACGTGGTAGGAATTTAACCCTTGCTTCTGTCAATTCAACTGTGATAAAATCGGTTTCGTTGTAAGTCGTTTGCCTAAAGGTGCAGGACCTGTGGACGACGATCAAGTGAGGATTCACTGCTCTCAGTACTGGGCATCTCCTTGTCAGTGGCTTCCTAGAGGCTCAGTGCTGCCACCTGCTGGGTTGTTTTTAAGAAGTGTGTTGTTTCTTTAGCGTTTATGACGTGGGGGATGAGAGACTGGTTTGTTCCTTGAACAGGCCTTGCTGGAGTGCCTTTTGCAGGCTGGCCCTGGTGTGGACACCGAGGACTGGGCAGTGAGCAGGACAGGCAGAGCCTGCGCCCAGCTGATGGGCTGGCCTCGAGGCGCTGTGACAGGGGCCGTTCCGCCCCGCCTGGCTCTTCTGCTGCTGTGGGCCAGTGTAAAGGGAGCATTTGCCTTTTACCAGGCGATAGAGGAGCCTTTTCGGGGCAGGGAGGCGGGGTGCAGGTGGCGCTGGGCCTCTGTTTATTGTCCCAATATGTTCTTTTGTTCTGAGACCTCTTTTCCCATGAGTAGGACTAAAATTCCTGAGTGGAACTTAAAGCTGTTCCCAGGTACAGAACTGTTGAAAATATGTCCAATCTCTCCTCTTCATACCTTATTTATTTCCTTTCCCACCTTTTGTAGTCTTTAAAATCACATACGATTTTTTTTTTCTTTATTTTAAACTGGAACAGGTAATTAAGTCACACCCTTTGCCTTAAATAGGCTCTGTTTCTTTCATTTGATACCATGTGAGGCATGCCGCGGGTTAGGACTTCCCTGTTTATTTACAGACACCTTGAGAACGTGTCTTCAGAACGTCATAGGTAGTGGACAGTCCTCAGGGAGCGCGCTAGGAGCGGCAGGCGTCCTAGCCCTCCGGCCTGGAGTCCTGCTCCGCTGCAGCCCTGGCCCCGGGCTGCGAGGGATGTCGCCTGTCTACAGGCAGGTGGCCCCAGGGGCCAGCCGGGACACAGCCCCCTGATCTGGTCCCCTGTGTACTCCCTGCCCCTCCCCAGGTTTGGAAACGACGTGCAGCACTTCAAGGTGCTCCGAGACGGAGCCGGGAAATACTTCCTCTGGGTGGTGAAGTTCAATTCTTTGAATGAGCTTGTAGATTATCACAGATCTACATCCGTCTCCAGAAACCAGCAGATATTTCTCCGGGACATAGAACAGGTGCCACAGGTAAGCCTCATAAGAGGGAGGCGGGATCATTTTTAGCAGTGCAAACAGCTCCTCGGGCGGGCAGCTGCCTCTTCAAAGGACTGCTTCTGGCACTTCTGCGCTCATTATTTAACATGTTACCTTTAACTCAGGTTAAAGATTTGAATCTGAGATAGAATGCCAGTAGTCTTGCCTTTCCCAGGGGCTGCGCCTCCAAGACAGTGTCTTGCTGGTTTCCTGCCTGTGTCTGTAGGAGGGCGGGCCTCTAACACGCTCCCCAGGGCTCCTTCCCTGGAAGCCAAGGGAGGGGAAAGCCCCCCTATGAGGGAGAGAGGCCACACTCGCTCCTGTGTCCCTAGTCCTGAAATTCTACTCATAAGCTCTGGTAAGCACCACCTTACTCATTCCAGCTCATGGCTTTTTGACTCTATAAAACCTTCAGGGTTTTATAAGTGATAGTGATAGGAACTGAAGCATTTTCAGATCCTGGGATGCTACGTAAAACCTGATGGCTGTTTCTGAAGTTCTCTCCTCTTAAAGCAGCACTTGCTGCTCCTGCTTAGTAATAATGGCACAAGCAGGCCCCCAGAGTTGAGGTCTCCACTGGAGAAAGATCACACTGTCCCCAGTAGAGTAAACTCAGACCATGTAAGAACAAAGGGAGAGGGAGGAGAAGTGGAGGTTTATTTCAGGAGATGTGGGAAAGCTGGCGCCCACCTGTTGCCTCCCACAAGCGGAGCCCCCCCGCCCCCGGGGCGGCCACACCTCGGGTGCCATGCGTGTCTCTCCCTGCCCCTGCAGCAGCCGACGTACGTCCAGGCCCTCTTCGACTTCGACCCCCAGGAGGATGGAGAGCTGGGCTTCCGTCGGGGAGACTTTATCCACGTCATGGATAACTCAGACCCCAACTGGTGGAAGGGGGCTTGCCACGGGCAGACCGGCATGTTCCCCCGCAATTACGTCACCCCCGTGAACCGGAACGTCTAAGAATCGAGAAGAGGGTATTTAAAGAAAGTGAAAAATTTAAAACACATGCAAAGAATTAAACCCACGTGCTGCCTCTAACAGCAGCCCGTGAGGGAGCTCAGAACACCTGGCTGGGTCACCTGGTGACCCTCTCACTTTGGTTGGAACTTTGGGGGGGTGGGAGGGGAGTTGGATATAACAATGCCAAAACTTACCTATAAATTAAGAAAAAGATTTTTTATTACAAATTTTCACCACTGCTCCTATTTCTCTTTTGTTCTTTTTTTCATCTTTTTTTCTCTTCTGTCCATCAGTGCATGACATTTAATGCCACATATAGTCCTAGCTGATGCCAATAATAAAAGAAAAGAAACCGAGTGGGCTGGTATTTTCTCTATGCAAAATGTCTAATTGAGTTGGAGTGACCGAAGGAACAGCCATTGCTGGGGTCTCCGTGTGCGCACGCACGCGGGGCGGGGGAGCCCGTGCCCTGCAGGGTTGCCGGGGCAGGGGGGTGGCGAGTAGGGAGCACGCTCTCAGCCCCCACCTGTGTGTGTGGTCAGAGCTGGAAGTAGAGCAGGGGGTGAAAGGACGGAGCGTTGCCCCTCTTGACTTCCTGAGAAAGTTATACTGCAAACCTGTGTCTCTTTCCCACATTGTTTTCCCTACTGAATGGTATTACTGAGCATGTTGTTTTTTCATAGTGCCTTTTTCCTTATTTCAAGGGTTGCTTTATGAGTGGTGTTTTTTTTTGTTTTGTTTTGCAATAAGTTAAAGACAGTCCAGAGCTTTTCAGCCAATTTGTCCCCTACTCTGTGTAAATATTTTTCCCTCAGTGGGGAGGGGAGAACAAGGGAGAGAAGAGGAGGCAAGTAGAAGGGGAGGGGTGGGCCTTCTCCCGTCCTCAGCCAGGGGTGGTTGGGGTTCAGCTTTGATGTTGAGGAGCCCCCCCTGCACCCCTGGAGTCGAAAGGGGCGGGAGCCCAGTGTCTAGAGCTGCTACCCAGTGCGTGGTGTGAGCAGCTGCCGGGGCAAGAGGGCAGGCCGCAGCCCTGCCCCGCTGGGCCGGGCCTGGCTGAGAGGGGGACGTCAGCGTCCTTGCCTTCCTGTCTCAGGTGGTGTCTACCCCCCTTAATCCCCAGAGACCCCCTGATGCAAACCCTCGGAGCCAGCAAGTGTCCGACACGGGAAAGCCCGGGGAACTCCGGCGGCCGCACGCTGTGTCAGGACACCCCGTATTCCTACACTGGGGTAGAAAAGGAGTCTTCATTTTTCTTACTCTGAAAACCAGGGGTGTCTCTTCACGCCTTTTACCTTTGTGTCCCCAGTAACCTGCCCACATGAGCCTTAGGGCAGCATTCAAGAGGCAGCTGTGTCCGTTCACAGTGGGCTGTGTTTATAGCTGCTCCGCCCCAGCCCCCCAAAAGGAAACGTCTCTGTGAAGCAGGAATAGCGAGAAGGGAAGATCGGAAATGTAGGCAGGCCGAGTCCACCGGAGAGCTCTCCGCGTCTGCCGTCAGCTTCGTGTCCTCAGAGTGATGTGCCTGTGAACTTGCTCTCTCCACCCGGTCCCCTTCCCCCAGCAAAATGGGGACCGGGTGCCGGTGCCAGCCTGGGGTCTGAAACAGCCATCGGCGCCTCCCTGGACTCTGGCCACAGAGCCGGACTCGGCCGGAGCGCCGGGAGACCCAGGGGGCGGCTGCGCTTCCGGACAGTCTTCAGCCTCTCCGGGCTCCCTCCCTGCCGGCTCCTCCTCTCCTCGCTGGTAATGAGAGGAATGTGGCTTTCTACACCTGGACCGTCTGATTGTCTTATTTCGGAATTGATGTATATCGTGCCGCCTTGCTGAACTAAGTTTTGTGTGTATATATTTAAAAAAAAACAAAACAGTGTTTAAATAAAAAGATCCATGTACTTAATCCTTGACCTCTGCGGATAGAATTTGGTAGGTAGTGATTAACTGTGAATAATAAACATACAATGACTTCTTCACTCTGTATCTTTTCTTCCCCCCCCCTCGCCTTAAAATAGAAGCCTGAAAACGATCAGGTAGGGTCAGGGAGTCAGGACGCATGTCCTTATTCCTGACGCAGCCCGCCCCTTGGCGGGGCACAGGGGTCCCACTGGGCCCCTCCAGGGGAGCTTGCCCACAATGCAGATTCCAAGGCCCGCCCTCCGGGCTTGTGGTGGAGGGCGCAGCAGGCGTTCACAGTGTTTCTGACGGAAACCATAGGCCACACTTCGGCAACTTGGTGAGACAGAGCAGAGCTGCCTTGGCTCTTGCCCCCTTGCCCGCCGCCTGCCCTCCGCACCCCTCTCCGCCTAAGGCCGGGGAGACAGAATGGTCTGTGCTAAAGCAGGCTGTCTGCTTTTAGGGGAGCCTAGGCCTGGTCACCCACACCCAGCACTGGCTGCAGAATTTGTTCAGAGAGCGAACAAAAAAGAAACGAAACGCAAGGAATTTCCGCTGATATTCTTGGTCTGGTTCCTAAATAGGGCCCAGCGTCTGGCCTCAGCGGTGGCTGCCCTGCCCAGGCAGGGGAGTTTTCAGTTCCTCCTCCGCAGGGACCGCGCATGAGACGGCACTCACATGGCACTGTGCTGCGGGGGGCCACTGGGCGCACAGGCCACCTAGGCCAGCTGCTGCGAAGCTGAGCAGAGATTCCAAAACAGGGCCATTGAGGTAGAAACGTAATGCAGTGGCTGTCAGCCTCATTGAGGTATTGTGCTCTGTTTGATGAATGGCTTCAGAATTAATGGGGAAAGTTCTGCTTTTGTGCAGTCTGTGTGGTTACGGGGTTCTTGGTGCCAGCACCCCCCTCCAGTTATGGGGGTGTAATTCCTGGAAAGTCATCTGGGTGGGAGCGCGTCAGGGAAGACAGCCGTGGAATAGCTTGGCTGCGTTGGTGACAAAGCTCCAGGCGGGTGAGTGGCCGTGAGGCTCCCTCCAGCTCTGTCTGCAGAGCGGCCTGCTGCAGCTGGGGTGGCTGGGAGTTTGTAACAGGCTCGTCTTCCAACGTGGTCGTGGAGGGTCAGCGGCGACGGCTCCTGCCAAGTGCTCCCAGGCGATCTCTGCGGTGCCAGGGCTGCTTAGGCGGCTTGTTGGAAAGAGGAAGGTGATGAGCGCAAGGGGGCCGCCATTCCTGGACATGCCGCATTGGCCTGTGTACTGCAGTAGGTGGTCTTCAGGTTGGAACGTCTTACTTTCCCAAGGTGCCCGGACAACTAGGAAAGATGAAAGATTGTATTTGGGCACTTTGGAAATACATCTGACTCCTGAGATGCTGGGTTTACGCACAGTCAGTGCAGGTTCCCCAGATATGAGCCCTCTTTTACACAAGAACAAGGAGGGGCTGGGTACACTCAGGACCTGGTTCAGCTGGGGGCTTCCTCCACGCAGTCCCCCGGGGTTAGGAGCCCCTCACTCCAGCCAGAGCACTGAGGCAAATGAGTGACGTGCTCACCACCGAGGCTGGCCGGCATCAAGGTCCTAAACTGCTATCATGTCTTCGGTTCCTCATCACTGTTAGGAAATAAGAGGACCGTTCTGTATACCAACATCATTGATACAAAAATAGTATAGTAGGCAGCGGCGGCAATGAGCCCATTGGCTATTCAGGGCACATAAAACACTACATTTAAAACTGATGGAGTTAAGTTTAAAAGGTGTAATACTATATCCAGTCCAAAAAGATACTCCTGAGACAGTCTTTCAAAACTTGATTCTGGCCCATCCAGTCTCCAAGGACAGTCTCACTGTTGCGTACAGGCAGACCTCAGAGACGTTCCGGCCTTGGTTCCGGCCCACACGATAGAGCAGGTCACAACCTTTTTGCTGTTGGAGGGTCTGTGGAGCTCAGTAAAGCCAAACACGATAAAACGAGGAATGCCTGTCTTCTGGCTCCTAGTCAGAGCCAGGGTTTAGAAAGCTGTCGCCGCAGGTGTCCTTGGGTCTAAGCTCTCTCTAAAAGGGCCCGCTTCCCTCCAGCATCACTGGTGTGGCTCAAGTAAGCGCCCTGGAGTCTGAAGCCCCACTCCTGGCGCCTCCTAATCCTGTCCTGTGCTGGGCAATCGGCAGGCACAGGCCCCCCCTTCTCTGTGTAGCCCCTGCGGGCGTGTTGATGGAAGCTGGGAGCGATTTCCATGGTGTCCCCCAGGCGCTCAGAGGGCCCTTTTATGTCCTCCCCCCGACCCGTGGCCGCCCCTTCCCATTCCTCCTCTGCCAGCGGCACTGCTCAGCTGCCCTGGAACTGGTGAGCAGCCCACTTCAGGCCTCCGCTCGTGATTGGCGTGTGGGTGTGCAAGCCGAGGGATGAGAGAATTCCAGACAGGAAGTGTGGGTGACACACAGTCACCCGTGGGCAGGGTTTGTGTGAGGCAGATGGGACTCAACCCAGGTCCCGGGAGACAGTGTTTTGAACAGAACACACAGACCCAGCCCACACGGCCGTGGCACGGTGGTGGGAATGAGCACGCCGTACGGAGACTGGCGGGGAAGGAGCCCGGGCAGCTGCTGCAACAAGGGAGAGTCAGGTGGGCCTGCGGGGCTTGGAGCCCAGGCCCAGCAACGCCCACCCGCTCTCCCTGCTGAGCAGAGGATGCCGTAGGTCCGGCAGATGCTTGGCGCGGTGAAGGTGGGACTTCAGCGGCACACAGGACAAGGCGGGGGGCGCGGGGGGCAGGGGGCTGCCGAAGCCGTGCTGGCCCAGGGGAACGAGGAGCTGCCTGCCAGCCTCCGTGGCTGGGCGGCCGCACGCTGGAGTCCGAGGGTACACGCCACTTCCAGGCTTGGCTGGCCCTGTGGGCCGGAGGCAGGAGGGCGGGGGAGGACCCGCCAGCCAACCTGCTCCACGGGACGCGAGCTATTTCTCCTCCACCGCCCCGCTCACCCACAGCTGGTGTCACCGCGCCCCCCTACCCTGACTATCCCCGGGCCCCCCTTGGAAAAGTGAGCCAAGGAGAAGCTTGAGTGGCCCAACTGAAAAACGTTAAGTTTGGGGGAAGGAAGTGGAATTGCTCATCGTGACCTCAACTACGTGGAAGCAGACACGAGACCGACAGCCCGGCAGCCAGCGCGGTTGAGCGCCTGGCGCCAGCCCTCGCCACTCAGGGGGGCCGATTCCACCCTTTCTCCCTTGTTCAGCCCCTGGGCAGGTGTGTGTGTTGCCATCCTCACGTGCTTCACTCGGGCCCCTGCTGGGCGGAGTCCTCCCTCAGAGGAGTCCCCCACCCCCCTGGGGTTAGTCAGCGCCGGGCCTCCAGCACTTTTTGCTCTTCCTCACTCGGCTTTTCTGCACAGCCTCACCACTAGCTTCCTCCCGGTTCCTTACTGCACACGCACACCCTGCCCACCTTCCCCACGGGACTGTGAGCCCC